GATTCATTATTATCATCACTATCATTATCAACAGCATCATCACCTTGTTTTTCTTGCTAGTTGGGGGAGGTGGCTTGACAAGTTTGAGTAGAATCTTAAGGCATGACAGAGTAATGCTCTCCATCACCAATGGGCTTGGAGTCTCCACGGACATCATGAAAATACGCATAACTACAATTCAAAGTATACAATACAATCACTTAACATATGGCGTAAATACAGTCAAAGGATAACAATGATTGACAGCTGTCAATCACTAACTGCATGTCGGGACTTTTGCCTGGGTTTTTCTAAGATAAACGATGGTAAATTCCTGTCAAGTTTTTGGTACTTTTTGATACAAAATCCTCACACTTACCGCATCTAATTCTCTTCTCCCAGCACAAATCCTCCATCTCTACAGTGTTACTTAGCAACAGCATCTCAGGACCAATACCAGATACCTAGAAACCAAATAAAAAATGCATGAAACCATGTCATGGAGGCACTAATTAATCTTCCTTTTCAATGTATTCTCAATATTCTACTCCAATATTGACCATAACATAAATACTTGGCAGAACTTTTCTTAAAGTTAAGTTTTAATGAAGTATTTTATGGGAATTGAAGAGGAAAGAATAGCCAGCTTAATCATGAACTAAAAATTATATGAAGCTTTGACTGGGAATTTCACAAGGATGTCACAGTCAACATTTTTCACACTAATAAGCACAGCCGTAAGTGGTCTGCCTAGCTTAAAAAATTTTCAATTCATCCTCAAACAGTTGACAGAACAGTTGAAAGAACAGTTTGACAGACAAAGCATTCTTTACTAGGTAATTTTATGGCATGTTGTTTATGATAAGAGTAGCTTACCATGGTTGGATTTGACCTGTGACCTTGCAGTGCACTGATAACTCTCTGTACTAAAATCTGATTCAGTTCTTCAGTGGCGTCATCATTGTTTTTGGTGAGAAGACAGAGGAGGTGACGAACATCAGCTCGCATCTGAGCTGTTCCTTGATGAAGATTGAAGTCGACCAGTTCACGTATCAAACCCTTACAACAACACAAAAATTAAGAACTGAATTGTTTTACAGAAGAAAGAGACAGAGAAAATAATGATCAAGAAGAAGAAATACAACAACAACAACAAGAGAAGAGCCAGAATGAGAAGACAAAAAAAGAAAGACAAGAAAAGGAAGGAGAACAAGAAGAGGTTGGAGATGCTGTCCAGGGAAAAGTGAA